TTTTTTTCTTCTAAATGGGTTTTCAAGCTTCTCAATCTGTCTGGTCACATTGAGATTTACTTTATAATTTAAATGTAGACTCAGTTTTCCACAAGCAGCACTGCAGATATTGGGCAAGTTTGAGTGGTAATGCTAAAGCAACCGACTGTAGACGAAAGTCTATGAGTGAAGTCGGGGAATGTACATCCGCGACAGCCGAAAATTGTACACTTCTGTGGTTTTCCAACAGCAAGGCTCAGATCAACATGGCAATGTTGCCATTGTTTGTTTTCGTTACAATGTCCAAATAACCCACATATCACCCACTCACAAACTGAAATCATAATATAATATTACGTGTGTACATTGTACAATCAATTAGTGAGAAAGCCTCATATTTATTTATATTTATGTATTTATTTCCACCCTCAGGGGTGCACGCTTAGTCCCCTGTTCACCCACGACTGCGCATGACTCCAACACCATCATTAAGTTTGCCGACGACATGACGGTGGTAGGCCTGATCACCGACAACTATGAGATTGCCCACAGGGAGAAGGTCAGAGACCTGGCAGTGTGGTGCCAGGACAACAACCTCTCCCTCAATGTCAGCAAGACAAAGTTGATGATCGTGGACTACAGGAAAAGGAGGGCCGAGCACGCCCCCATTCTCATCAACGGGGCTATAGTGGAGCAGGATGAGAGCTTAAAGTTCCTCGGTGTCCACATCACTAAGGAATTATCATGGTCCACACACACCAACACAGTCATGAAGAGGGCACGACAACGCCTCTTCCCCCTCAGGAGGCTGAAAAGATTTGGCATGGGCCCTCAGATCCACAAAAGGTTATACAGCTGCACCATTGAGAGCATTGCATCACCATTGACTGGCTGCATCACCGCTTGGTATGGCAACTGCTTGGCATCCGACCACAAGGCGCTACAGAGGGTAGTGCATCTGGCCCAATACATCACTGGGGCTGAGCTACCTGCCATCCAGGACCTTTATACCAGACGGTGTCAGAGGAAGACCCTAAAAATGGTCAAAGACTTCAGCCACCCAAGTCATAGACTGTTCTCTCTGATACCACACGGCAAGCGGTGCACCAAGTCTGGAACCAACAGGACCCTGAACAGCTTCTACCCCCAAGCCATAAGACTGCTAAATATCTACCTGGACTATCTGCATTGACCCTTTTTCCACTCATCACATATGCTGCTGTTACTGTTTATTATCTATCCTGTTGCCTAACTTTATCCCTACCTATATGTAAATTTCTACCTCAATTACCTCGTACACCTGCACATCGACTCGGTACTGGTACCCTGTGTATATAGCCAAGTTATCGTTATTCATTGTGTATTTTTTCCTCATGTTATTATATTTCAATGTATGTTTTTTTTTTCTCTCTCTGCATTGTTGGGAAGGGCCTGTAAGTAAACATTTCACTATTAGTCTACACATGGTGTTTACGAAGCATGTGACAAATGCAATTTTATTTTATTTGATATATCGGGTAAAATTGGTTCCTGTTTCAGTCATGTCTTTGGTCACGTTCACGTGGGTCAAACAAAAACACCCTAATGATGGCTGTAGGATGAAGTTGGTGAAGAGCAACTGCAGATTTTTGTAAAGTTCATACAGTTGACAAAAGTGATCAGCTCTAACGTGGCCATTGAGATGAGCACGATGCAAAACTTTGCTCTCACACAGTCACACAGAGTATCTGAAATGTGCACGGGTGTGCGTCGCGCTGCTACAACGTGTCTCCCGAGTGGCGCAGTGGTCTAAGGCACTGCATCGCAGTGCTAGCTGTGCCACTAGAGATCCTGGTTCGAATCCAGGCTCTGCTGTAGCCGGCCGCAACCGGGAGACCAATGGGGCGGCGCACAATTGGCCCAGCGTCGTCCAGGGTAGGGGAGGGAATGGCAGGCAGGGAGGTAGCTCAGTTGATAGAGCATGGCGTTTGCAACGCCAGGGTTGTGGGTTCGTTTCCCACAGGGGGCCAGTATGAAAATAATAATGTATGCACTAACTGTAAGTCGCTCTGGATAAGAGCGTCAGCTAAATGACGTAAATGTAAATGTAGCTATGGGACCAAAACAGTGGAGAAGTTTAGCCTCACACTTCAATGCTCCTGGTTGTTGGGGAAATTGACCCACTACTACTGTTTACTTCGTACATCTACGTCAGTGGTCACCAACCTTTTCTGAGTCAAGATCACTTTCACAGTCAAAAAGCAAGCCGAGATCTACCGCTCAGATTCTTTACTTTAACTTAACTTAATAAAAACAGTTCTGTAGGAACGATCTTTGTGCAGTAGGCCTAATACATTATCACAGCATATTGGCTATATGCCTGGCCTACAAATATTGTTATTCTCAGACCATATTATATTTCAAAAATCGAGCTTTGACAACAAAATAGATCAGTTGGTGTAGCACTTGCGAGGCACAGCTGAGCATAAATTGAAATAATTTGCAAATAATTTGCTTTTTTATTTTACTGGACTGATGGTACCTGCATCTGATGGTAATGGTGCTTTCAAGACAACTGGGAACTCTGAAAAAACAAGGTAAAATCATGACGTAAGTGAACTTCAGGTCAGAAAGTCAGAGCTCTAGAAGAATGCCAGAGTTTCCGAGTTGGATGACTTTTCCCCAGTCGGTTCTCCGTTTTATCAGAGTTCCCAGTTGTCTTCAATGCACTGAAGTTGGACATTTCAGAGTTCCGAGTTGTTTTGAACATGGCATTAGTCTCAGCGGAGGGAGGGAGGGAGCAGCAGAGGGTCCGCCACAGGAGGTTGGTGGTAACTTAATTGGGGAGAACGGGCTCATTATAATGACTGGAGCAGAATAGGTGGAATGGTATCAAATTTATCAAACACATGGTTTCCAGGTGTTTGATACCATTCCATTTGCTCCCTTCCGGCCATTATTATGAGCCATTCCACTGGGGTACACCTAGCATGGTCCCTGCTCTTTCCTTCCTTTCCTCCGGTGAGACTGACCAGCGAGACCAGTCTTCCACCTGATGGCAAAAAAAAAATCAGATTGGCAAGTGCAGTAGGCACACTCGATTTAGCCACAGATCTCCCAGTCTGCCAGGTAGGCAGAGTTCGTATTTTCAGACAAATTAAGTGGTTAAAAATGGGAACACTTTGTCTACCCGGTGCGCAGGGCTTCTGAATCAAATGCACCTACCGCCAACAGCGCAACACGAAAAAAAGAGGAGCGCAAGCCTTTATATATTTATCATTGGCTTTTCTACAGAAATGTTTGGTGATCGACTAGGAATGCCTTGAAGACCGGTTGGTGACCACTGATCTACCTCATCTCACTTAGTCTACCTTTAAAGCTAACTTAACCTATGACCTGACCCATCACCTTATGCATTACTACCCCACAGTGGCAAGAAGAGACATCCCCAAAAACACAAAACCTGTACAACACATACATGGCTCCTACCCTTCCACACATAGGTTACACTCTGTCCCTAACACTAAAACTTTAACTTAATCAATTAAAACGAAATTGAAATGTTTTGATAAAACTTAAACTAAATAAAAAAGTGTAAAGTGGATCTGAAAACAAACTGAAACTAAACAGAATTTCTAATAAAAATCTTACAACTACTAGAAGTAAAAACTAATATAAAAACACAAAACTATAATAACCTTGCTGCCCAGTAGGTCTATGTCACATACAGCAACAGATCAAAGGAAACACAATGACATTTGTTTGGAAAAAGCAACTATATTTACAAAGACATACAATGTACATTTCCCTAAAACGTTCCCCTCATAATACCATTGCATTTCCCACAACATCTGTATCCACTGCACGTGCAGCCACAGTAGAACAAAATAGAACTTCATTTTCAAGCATATTTTCCCAAAGCCTTTTTCCAAGAAAGCTATTCATTAAAACACTCGAGACACTGCAATGATGCCAAAAACTGCAAGTAGGTTTTGACAAATTAACTAATTCACCCATTCATGCAATGCACATGTACGCATTGTAAATCCTATACCCTGGATATGTTTGTCAAATATTGTGACAGAAAATGGTTTGTTGTCTCTTTTCCACTGTCTGTGGTCACAGCTTTTATTGTGACAGACATCTTTTAAAATTGAATGATGACATGTAATGTGTTTTATATGGAAATGAAGCTACTATAAAGTGAATGCATCCTATTTAACACACTTAACCTTTAAGCTCTCGTCACAGCCATCGAGTAGCTGATTTAGATCTGAGTTTTTTTTTTTTATGTATCTGATAACACTTTCTATGAGGCTCATGCATTTGATGTATGACTTCTTCATAACAGATTAAATGGAGGAGCAAATAATATTTAGCAAATTGTGTTCAGTGTTTCCCCACACTGCAGTGTACACACACGCACACTCTTTTAGCTTATCTCTTTTGGTCTTAGACTGAAAACTGGTTGAATCAATGTTGTTTCCACGTCATAAAAAAAAAATCTATGTGATGACATTGAATAAACGTGGAAAACTGATTGGATTTGAAAAAAGTAATCAACGTAATGGAATTTTGTATTTTATTCACCCAACTTTTTACCTAAATCCAATGACATGGTGAAATGTTTTGTTGATTTCACATTGAATTCATATTAGTTGACAACTCAACCAAATGTAAATTAAAACTAGACATTGAACTGACGTCTGTGCCCAGTGGGTTATCTCTTCAGTTAGTCCTATGATTAAGCGTCTGATTGAGCGTAGTCTGACAGTGGCCCCCCTTGGCGTCTCTGCATGGCCGGCTCCCCACTAGGATTCCCTGCATCTGACCACTTATTGCCCTCTATTTCTCTCGTTATGTCTCGCCTACCGCAGGATCGGAGCCCTAGGACCGTGCCTCAGGACAACCTGGCCTGACGATACCTGGCTGTCCCCTGTTCACCTGGCCGTGCTGCTGACCCAGTTCTGTTGTTCTTACTTCAGCTGTGGACCCCTGACTTGATTTCACCTTGACCCTGCTCATTGACCCCCCCCCCATATGTTTGTGCCTCGTAGAAAGTGTTACCAATAATCATATCATCAATATTTAATTGAAGTAATGATCAGTTTGCCATTGCCCTAAATAGTCATGAATGGATGTCAGATCTTCATGTAAACAGTTTTCAAGTTAAATGGTGCAGCACACTGTTTCTACTCTGCCTACCATTTGATTGGCCCCTTGAAAATAATTGTAAATTTGACCAGTAATCCATGTTGGATTGGTTCACTATGCTAACATTATTTTCTACTACTTATTTTTGTGAATGAAATTCCCCACTCTTTGTATGAATTTGCCCAGTTTGTTTTCATGGTGGCTAGTTGTCTGCTGGCCAGTGTGGTTGTGTTGTTCATTGGGGGAGCTACTTTTAGCAGAGTGCATGCTCTTGGTCCTCTCAGGGGCGTGTATTGGTGCAGGGCCTGTTGCAGATTGAGAGGAGTGGGGTTGCTTCTTCTCAAATGAGCAGAAAGGCTCAAATCTGCTATACAAACGACTACTGCCGCCCTGATCGTTACGCCAGGTTCCTGATGCAAGGCTTGTCCTTTCATGCCTTTCATCAATGGCAGTACGCTGCCCCTGTGTCCTAATGGATGTAGCTCTGACAGGAGGGTTTTGCTGCAGCTCGTCAGTGCTAAAACGAGGGGCTGATGATTTTCCTATATCATCAGCAAAGTGGTTCTTGTCCATCTTTAGCCTGGTAGGGGATCTGGTTGGATTTGCGGTGCCAATCTGCGGTGCAACCTTTGTCTCTCTGTTTGGTCTTTGTTCCTCTTCCTCAGCCACTATGGTGTCTGAGCTACCACCCCTTTTTGGAATTCGTTTTTCCTTGGTTAGAGGGGAACCCTCTTTTTTCTCTGGTATGTTGAGCAATGATCTGATTTTCTTGGAGCTCTTCTTGAGGAAACGAGGTGAGCTCATTGCTGTACTGGTGGACTTGTAAGTGGGCTCTTTGCTGTTCATATCAAGGGCTGCTGCAGACACAGTTCTGGAGGGAGGGTCTTTCCAAATGGAAACAGGATGGCTCTTTATGTCCACAGTGTTTTTGACGTCATAATGAGAGACAGATATCTGATCCTTGTTCAGATTTGAAGAATATCCTCCATTCTGTACACCCACTCTTATTCCACCACCATCTGCCTGTTTCCTCACAAAGGCCCCGCCATACATGTGACTGGAGGACTCTTTATTGTTTCTGTAGTCTATGTTGGACTTTGGGTCTGCCACACTGTGCCTTTTGTGCCAGTTGTCTTGGAGGAGCTCAGGGGTTTTGATTACCAGTCCCCCTTTGGCTCTGCCCAGGCTGGCATAGACAGACTGATGTGGGTCTCTTCCTGGGCCATAGCCAATGTTATTCCTAGGATCATCCAAAATCTGCAGACTTTGCTTCTTCATTATAAACTCATCCTGTCTCATTCTGTTTTCCATTGATGTTGCTTGATTCCATTGCATTGATGAGTAATACGGTTTATTGTTTGGCCTTGCAGAGGGATCGACCTGACATATGGAAGCATTGTTTGAGTAACTGTTTGTCTCCGGTTGCTCTTGAATAATGGACTTGAAAACAAGAGATGACCTAACTCTGGAGGGAATGAATGAGCTAGCTTTGTTTTCCTGAGCTTCATACTGGTCCAGATAATCACAGGATTCCCCAATAGGAGTGTCAGTGTTATTGAGGTAAGACTCTATCCTATATGTGCGCAAGAAGGACTTAGCCGTGTGCTCCAAAGTTGGCATGTTCTGCTGCATGGAGCGGACTTGTTTGTCATTCCCATGGTAGGACTGCCGAATATTGTGACCTCTGTACATCTGTGCCCCCTGAGAATGGTCCTCCATGGCATTGGAAAAGTGGCTTCTTCCAGGGGCGCAGTGATAACCTCCATCTCCAGCCACATTCCAGTTGCTTGCCCCATACCTTGTGTTGTGTGGAACATACAAGACTTCTTGTCTCTCCCCAGCATAACTGTGCCTTTTCAGGAAGTTCACAGTCTCTGCAGACTGGAACTGATGGATGGGGTTTTGAACACTCACACCATGATTGATCATGGGTCTGTGTTCAAATGGCTCCTCCTCATAAAATCTCTCCTCCATCTCTCCGATAGGACTCGTCATGCCCGTCTGTCTCTCACAGGCTTTCCTGTACACTGTGTCGAGGGTATGTCTCAACTGGTCCTTCCTCTCAAAGGCTTGGCTGGATTGAGAAGCATACTTTGCCAGAGCATGTCTTCCATTCCTTTCTAGTAACACACCCTCGGGAGGGGCGAGAACTGCTGGCACGGAGGAGCGGGCGAAGAGCGTTCGAAACTCCTCGTCATAGGACTCCACCAGTTGGCCTGTTATGACCTGCACCATACTCAGGTTGATTTTCTCATAGGACCACATGAAGCTGGGTGGAGAAGAAGAAACATAGAGCAGCAATTACTTCAGTGTCAAATATAAACTCTAACAGACATTTCTAGCTCAGTCTATACACAAGGTCAACTGAGGTAAACAGTTTTGCATTATCAATAAATTGTCTGCTGTCAACCCTTAGCATCTCTAATTAATCTCTAAGTTATGGCACATTTTTCTATCAAAGATAAGCCTTTGGCTGTCTAAAGTAAAACATTAATATTGCCTTATCTGTTACTCATTAGGTATTCTAGGCTTCTACCTCACCGAAATGCTCTTTTTGAAAAGTTAACCCTTTCAGAGACAAATCCCGAATCTTAAATGTTTTCATATCTCAAGAGAAGTTCCGTGTTCAACTTAGAAATCAAATACAGTCTCTACAGAAAGCCCTGTGAAGTAACATTGAACAGAACAAAAAAATATATATATATATAATTGTCCAAGCTTTCATACTTATATTCCATGCACTGTTTACTTTACAGAAGTAAAAAAAACACAATTAAGATTGGGGTCAAAAGCCAGATTTATTTTTTTTGTGGGGTAGATCAGCTTTAATATTTCAGATAGATTGTAACTTCCATCTATGTAATTGTCTTCATCACTTCCAATCCCCGATATGTTTTTTTCTCTCGCAAATATATATATATATATATATATATATATATATATATATATATATATATATATATATATACATACACACACATATATATACAGTGAGGGAAAAAAGTATTTGATCCCCTGCTGATTTTGTACGTTTGCCCACTGACAAAGAAATGATCAGTCTATAATTTTAATGGTAGGTTTATTTGAACAGTGAGAGACAGAATAACAACAACAAAATCCAGAAAAACGCATGTCAAAAATGTTATACATTGATTTGCATTTTAATGAGGGAAATAAGTATTTGACCCCCTCTCAATCAGAAAGATTTCTGGCTCCCAGGTGTCTTTTATACAGGTAACGAGCTGAGATTAGGAGCACACTCTTAAAGGGAGTGCTCCTAATCTCAGTTTGTTACCTGTATAAAAGACACCTGTCCACAGAAGCAATCAATCAATCAGATTCCAAACTCTCCACCATGGCCAAGACCAAAGAGCTCTCCAAGGATGTCAAGGACAAGATTGTAGACCTACACAAGGCTGGAATGGGCTACAAGACCATCGCCAAGCAGCTTGGTGAGAAGGTGACAACAGTTGGTGCGATTATTTGCAAATGGAAGAAACACAAAAGCACTGTCAATCTCCCTCGGCCTGGGGCTCTATGCAAGATCTCACCTTGTGGAGTTGCAATGATCATGAGAACAGTGAGGAATCAGCCCAGAACTACACGGGAGGATCTTGTCAATGATCTCAAGGCAGCTGGGACCATAGTCACCAAGAAAACAATTGGTAACACACTACGCCGTGAAGGACTGAAATCCTGCAGCACCCGCAAGGTCTCCCTGCTCAAGAAAGCACATATACAGGCCCGTCTGAAGTTTGCCAATGAACATCTGAATGATTCAGAGGAGAACTGGGTGAAAGTGTTGTGGTCAGATGAGACCAAAATCGAGCTCTTTGGCATCAACTCGCCGTGTTTGGAGGAGGAGGAATGCTGCCTATGACCCCAAGAACACCATCCCCACCGTCAAACACGGAGGTGGAAACATTATGCTTTGGGGGTGTTTTTCTGCTAAGGGGACAGGACAACTTCACCGCATCAAAGGGACGATGGACGGGGCCATGTACTGTCAAATCTTGGGTTCCCTCAGCCAGGGTATTGAAAATGGGTCGTGGATGGGTATTCCAGCATGACAATGACCCAAAACACATGGCCAAAGTAACAAAGGAGTGGCTCAAGAAGAAGCACATTAAGGTCCTGGAGTGGCCTAGCCAGTCTCCAGACCTTAATCCCATAGAAAATCTGTGGAGGGAGCTGAAGGTTCGAGTTGCCAAATGTCAGCCTCGAAACCTTAATGACTTGGAAGATCTGCAAAGAGGAGTGGAACAAAATCCCTCCTGAGATGTGTGCAAACCTGGTGGCCAACTACAAGAAACGTCTGACCTCTGTGATTGCCAACAAGGGTTTTGCCACCAAGTACTAAGTCATGTTTTGCAGAGGGGTCAAATACTTATTTCCCTCATTAAAATGCAAATCAATTTATAAAATTTTTGACATGCGTTTTCCTGGATTTATTTGTTGTTATTCTGTCTCTCACTGTCCAAATAAACCTACCATTAAAATTATAGACTGATCATGTCTTTGTCAGTGGACAAACGTACAAAAACAGCAGGGGATCAAATACTTTTTTTCCTCACTGTATATATACAGTGGGGAGAACAAGTATTTGATACACTGCCGATTTTGCAGGTTTTCCTACTTCTAAAGCATGTAGAGGTCTGTAATTTTTATCATAGGTACACTTCAACTGTGAGAGACTGAATCTATTTGTTGTCATTCTGTCTCTCACTGTCCAAATAAACTCTTTGGAGGGAGCTGAAAGTCCGTATTGCCCAGCGACAGCCCCGAAACCTGAAGGATCTGGAGAAGGTCTGTATGGATGAGTGGGCCAAAATCCCTGCTGCGGTGTGTGCAAACCTGGTCAAGACCTACAGGAAACGTATGATCTCTGTAATTGCAAACAAAGGTTTCTGTACCAAATATTAAGTTCTGCTTTTCTGATGTATCAAATACTTATGTCATGCAATAAAATGCAAATTAATTACTTAAAAATCACACAATGTGATTTTCTGGATGTTTATTTTAGATTCCGTCTCTCACAGTTGAAGTGTACCTATGATAAAAATTACAGACCTCTACATGCTTTGTAAGTAGGAAAACCTGCAAAATCGGCATTGTATCAAATACTTGTTCTCCCCACTGTATATACTTATTATGGACACAGTATGCTTTACATTAGTTATCTTGTTGTTATTTGTTGTTGTTATTTGTTGTTGTTATTAGTCCCATCATTCAGCTCCATTCAACACCTCCCATCTATCTCTTAACACCATCCATATTGGATTTCTATTTGCCATATATTTTTCAACTGTACTGTGATGTTTTACAAAAGTTCTGAACCTTTCTATTCTCATTGTTTCTACAGATCGTAAATTGAAAATATTTTTTTTTGCTAAAAGTATTATTATATTATTGATCGATTCACTATGACTTTTCAGATCATCCAGTAGTGCTATCTGCAGGGTTAGCTCCAGGTAAATATTGCAATCCTTTAGCCATTCCTGGACCTGCATCCAAAAACAAGCTACAAATGGACAGTACCAAAACAAATGATCTAATGATTCTGTCTCTTCGCAGGAAAATCTGCAGAGCTAGGAAGATTGTATCCCCCATAAAAATAACATTATATTGGTAGCAAGAATTTATGTAATAATTAAAATTTAAAAATTCTAAGTTTTGAATCCGGCGTCGTTTTGCGTATCAATTCATAAACACTATGCCATGGGATCGGTACGTCAAAAATCTCTTCCCAACTATTTTGCAATCTATATGACACGGCTGTCAATCCTTTGGTCCTTAAATGAAACTGGTACACATTTTTATTTATCACAATTTTCTTTAACCAATAATATTCTTTAAGGCAAGGCCGACAGACAAGTTCCTTACTTTTTCCCCCTTCCACTTTCCTTTTCCATTTTTGCGGTAATGCTGCAATTATTTGGTTGTAATTTTGGGTAGAGCAGACATTTCCATATGTTTTTTATCAATTAGTATATTTGAGTTTAACCACAATATTTGTTGCATTATTTGTTCTGTCGTTTCTGGAGGATTCAATTGAAATTGCAACCAACTTTCTATGGCTTGTTTTAGAAATAGTGATATTTGGGAGATTATTTCCTTTTCAAATAATTGAAAGTGAGAGGTTGTAACCTGAATAAAGTGAAAAAGGTAATTCTTGAACATTGGGTGAGACAATCTTACTAATTTGCTTGAGAACCAGTTCGGATTTAAGTATAACTTTTGTATGACAAGCTTTTAGTGATAGGTCTAATGCTTTAATATTTAATCATTTGTCCTCCGAATTCATATTCATTATATAAATAGGCCCGTTTAATTTTGTCTGGCTTGCCATTCCAAATAAAATTGAATATTTTTTTTCCATATAATTTTAAAATACTGTTCGCTAGGCGTAGGCAAGACCATAAGCAAATAGGTAAACTGGGATAATACTAAAGCGTTAATCAGGGTGTATTTTCCACAAACTGACAGGTATTTACCTTTCCATGGTAGCAAGATCTTATCTATTTTTGCTAACTTTCTATTAAAATGTATTGAAGTGAGATCATTTATTTCATTTGGGATATGTATTCCGAGTATATCCACATCACCATCAGACCATTGTACTGGTAAACTACATGGTAATGTAAAAAAATTGTGTTTTTTAGTGATCCAATATGTAATATAGTACATTTATCATAATTTGGTTGTAATCCAGAGAGGTTAGAAAATGTATCTAGATCCTCTATGAGGCTGTGGAGGGATTCAAGTTGTGGATTTAAAAGAAAACATCCATATAAGCCTTAGCCTGTTCAAATAGTCACAATTACAATACAAAGAAAGAACATCAAAATGACTCAATAAAGTGGATTGCATTTAAAGCTAAAGAACATTTTAATCAATATTGGGAAAGCCTTATTCTGAACCACTGGGCTCCTAGTTCCATTTACCTGTATGATCCGTACACCACTGTTTGGCAGTCCACCAATAGAAACTTCTGCTCCATTGCTCCATGAAATGTAGCTCCTGAACGACAGACGTAATCCGGACCCTTCACTGTGCGTACTCTCATGTTCTGTAGACCAAGACAGTCAAAGTGGCATCTTAGCAAGGCCATTCTACGGTAACACACCGTTTTATGCAAAGCTTGAATATTATCAGTATTCTCTCATGAAAGGTATATTGACTCTCTGAAATAACGAGAGAGCTTTATTGCGGCCTTAAACAAATGCTATGATAAGAAAGCATAGCTATACCTCTGGTAACAACTACCTCGCCCTGTAAACTACCTCGCCCTGCAAGATAGAGTGAGAATTACGTTTTCAGTCTGTCATTTTGGGGGCCTACTGTCAGTGGTTCAGGTTAATTCTGAAATCCATCTACAGTATATAACACAAGACACTGCGATAACCTTAACCCTCCCTACTGCCACACCTCACAGTAAATTCTCTATCAGATATAGAGGTACCTTACTCTGGAATTCTTATCTTCACATTGCCAAAACATTATCATCCCTCAATAACTTCAAGTGAATCACTTTGGTGCAAATAAATGAATAACAAATCAATACTGTGTATACGATGAGAGAAGGATCAGTCGGCACATTTAAATATAAACCTCTAAGTACATGCATTACCATTGTAAGAGAGTATGTGAACTTACCCTAAGTTTTTGGATTTGGATGTCTTGATTCTCAGCCATTGAGAGAAAGCTTTGCAGATGAAATTCATCCAGAAGCACATAAACTGGAATTCCTCTGATGGAGGCATCAACCGCTTCTTTGAATATATCCACATCTGTAAAAATGTCCATTACAATTGCAATAACCTGTAATGAAAGAAGGGAAAATAACAAAAACAATGATTTATTAAAATAATTAGCATACCATTGTAACACCTTAGTGTTGATGGACCCACCTTTTGGATATTTTGTGATATTTTGTGAATTAGGGTATGAGGCATTGTGCCGAGCTGTGGTGTAGTGGTAACACTCCCCAGCACATGTCACATATGACACCCCATTGGAAACTGGGAGTTCAATCACCGTGTCCACAATTCCCACTGTTGCTCCCACCTACCTGTATCCCCCTCTCAGTAAAAGTGTCAAATACAGTGGGAAAAAAAAGTATTTAGTCAGCCACCAATTGTGCAAGTTCTCCCACTTAAAAAGATGAGAGAGGCCTGTAATTTTCATCAAAGGTACACGTCAACTATGACAGACAAAATGAGATTTTTTTTTCCAGAAAATCATTTTAAATGAATTTATTTGCAAATTATGGTGGAAAATAAGTATTTGGTCAATAACAAAAGTTTCTCAATACTTTGTTATATACCCTTTGTTGGCAATGACACAGGTCAAACGTTTTCTGTAAGCCTTCACAAGGTTTTCACACACCGTTGCTGGTATTTTGGCCCATTCCTCCATGCAGATCTCCTCTAGAGCAGTGATGTTTTGGGGCTGTCGCTGGGCAACACGGACTTTCAACCCAGCCACGTTTCATCTTCAATGCCCTTGCTAATGGAAGGAGGTTTTCACTCAAAATCTCACGATACATGGCTCCATTCATTCTTTCCTTTACACGGATCAGTCGTCCTGGTCCCTTTGCAGAAAAACAGCCCCAAAGCATGATGTTTCCACCCCCATGCTTCATAGTAGGTATGGTGTTCTTTGGATGCAACTCAGCATTCTTTGTCCTCCAAACACGACGAGTTGAGTTTTTACCAAAAAGTTCTATTTTGGTTTCATCTGACCATATGACATTCTCCCAATCCTCTTCTGGATCATCCAAATGCACTCTAGCAAACTTCAGACGGGCCTGGACATGTACTGGCTTAAGCAGGGGGACACGTCTGGCACTGCAGGATTTGAGTCCCTGGCGGCGTAGTGTGTTACTGATGGTAGGCTTTGTTACTTTGGTCCCAACTCTCTGCAGGTCATTCACTAGGTCCCCCTGTGTGGTTCTGGGATTTTTGCTCACCGTTCTTGTGATCATTTTGACCCCACGGGGTGAGATCTTGCGTGGAGCCCCAGATCGAGGGAGATTATCAGTGGTCTTGTATGTCTTCCATTTCCTAATAATTGCCCCCACAGTTGATTTCTTCAAACCAAGCTGCTTACCTATTGCAGATTCAGTCTTCCCAGCCTGGTGCAGGTCTACAATTTTGTTTCTGGTGTCCTTTGACAGCTCTTTGGTCTTGGCCATAGTGGAGTTTGGAGTGTGACTGTTTGAGGTTGTGGACAGGTGTCTTTTATACTGATAACAAGTTCAAACAGGTGCCATTAATACAGGTAACGAGTGGAGGACAGAGGAGCCTCTTAAAGAAGAAGTTACAGGTCTGTGAGAGCCAGAAATCTTGCTTGTTTGTAGGTGACCAAATACTTATTTTCCACCATAATTTGCAAATAAATTCATAAAAAATCCTACAATGTGATTTTCTAGAATTTTTTTTCTCAATTTGTCAGTCATAGTTGACGTGTACCTATGATGAAAATTACAGGCCTCTCTCATCTTTTTAAGTGGGAGAACTTGCACAATTGGTGGCTGACTAAATACTTTTTTCCCCACTGTAAATGTTTTAAATATTTTTTAAAGAATAATGCATTACTGCCGTTATAAAATGTATAGGTGTTTATTAATTGTTGTTTTAGATTTCATATTATTTTCGTGTTATATCCCTATATTATACCCTGGCCATCAGATGTACAGTACCATGACATAGACCAACCAGGTGAATCCAGGTGAAAGCTATGATCCCTTATTGGTGTCACTTGTTAAATCCACTTCAATCAGTGTAGATGAAAGGGAGGAGACAGGTTAAGAATGATTTTTAAGCCTTGAGACAATTGAAACATGGATTGTGTATGTGTGACATTCAGAGGGTGAATGGGCAAGACAAATTATTTAAGTGCCTTTGAATAGGGGGTATGGTAGTAGGTGCCAGGCGCACCGATTTATGTCAAGAACTGTAATGCTGCTGTTTTTTTCACTCTCAACAATATGATTGCCAACAAGGGTTTTGCTACCAAGTACTAAGTCATGTTTTGCAGAGGGGTCAAATACTTATTTTCCTCATTAAAATGCAAATCAATTTATTATAACATTTTTCACAAGCTTTTTTCTGGATTTTGTTGTTGTTATTCTGTCTCTCACTGTTCAAATAAACCTACCATTAAAATTATAGACTGATCATGTCTTTGTCAGTGGGCAAAAGTACAAAATCAGCAGGGGATCAAATACTTTTTTCCCTCACTGTAGCTAGCTTACACCTAACTAATGCCAAAGAGCTTACACATTGTTTTTACAACAGCCATCTTAGCATAGCCCTGTTCTGCATAATGGCCACTGCTTCCCCATCCCAAGACGAGCCTAGAAAAGCACTCGAACCCCCATGTTCTTGTACTTTCAGCTCCATGATTGCAGGGAAGGATTTTCACCTTCTATGCATCAATTGCCTGGAAAGGTAACATACTCAGGAAGCACTCGACAACCCCGAGTCCTGTAAGCATTGTAAATTGCTCTTTAGAGCGGGTTTGAGAAGGAGGTTAAAACACTTCGCTGTCTCTAACCCCTCCTTTCTTCTGACGACAGTGTAGGGGGGAAGGTGAGTTAGGGAATGACGAGGATGACGACCCTGAATCCAGATGCTTGGGATTACGGATCAAAACCTCCGTGCCTCCTGTAATGCCATCCAAGGCTGTGGTCGTACCATGAGTCTGGCGGTGGTGGGAGAAAGGGCTCTTAACAGACAAAGAAAAAGTAGACCTCCTGGATGACCCTGTGTTGTTCAGCCATGCTGTCGCCACTGTCCCACTGCCCCGCTGTCGCCACCAAGCGCCGGAGGAGATGGCTGCCGTTTTACGGGCTAATAACCAATTGTGCTATTGTGTGTGTTTTTTCACGTTATTTGTAACTTATTTTGTACATAATGTTTCTGCCACTGTCTCTTATGACTGAAAAGAGCTTCTGGATATCAGGACAGCGATTACTCACCTCGTACTGGACAAATATTTGTTCCTTAACGAGTCGGACGCGAAATATTTTCTTCAGACACCCGTCAAGGCCCAAATCCCTGTCATTCGCATGAGAAAAAGACAGGATATCGGGGACGTAGGTCGGGGTGCCTTGTAAGGATCCGACGGCGAGTGGGTAATTTGCATCTACCATCAGTCCTATTAGCCAACGTACAATCATTGGATAAAAAATTGACTAATTACGATCACTGATATCCTACCAACGGGACATTAAAAACTGTAATATCTTATGTTTCACAGAGTCATGGATGAACGACGACATGGATAACATACAGCTGGCGGGAAATACGCTGCATCGGCAAGATAGAACAGTTGCCTCCGGTAAGACAAGGGTTGGCGGTCTGTGTATATTTGTAAACAACAGCTGTTGCACGAAATCTAATATTAAGGAAGTCTTGAGGTTTTGCTCGCCTGAGGTAGAGTATCTCATGATAAGCTGTAGACCACACTATTTACCAAGAGAGTTTTCATCTATATTTTTCATAGCTGTCTATTTACCACCACAAACCGATGCTGGCACTAAGACCGCACTCAATGAGCTGTATAAGGCCATAAGCAAACAGGAAAAAGCTCATCCAGAGGCAGCACTCCTAGTGGCCGGGGACTTTAATGCAGGGAAACTTAAATCTGTTTTACCTAATTTCTACCTGCATGTTAAATGTGCAACCAGAGGGAAAAAAACTATAGACCACCTTTACTCCAAACACAGAGACACGTGCAAAGCTCTCCCTCGCTCCCTCCATTTGGCAAATCTGACCATAACTCTATCCTCCTGATTCCTGCTTACAAGCAAAAACTAAAGCAGGAAGCACCAGTGACTCGGTCAATAAAGAAGTGGTCAGATGACGCAGATGCTAAGTTTTCAACCTGTCCCTGACTGAGTTTGTAATACCAACATGTTTCAAGAACACCACCATAATCCCTGTGCCCAAAAACACTAAGGTAACCTGCCTAAATGACTACTGACCCATAGCATTCACGTCTGTAGCCATGAAGTGCTTTGAAAGGCTGGTCATGGCTCACATCAACACCATTATCCCTGAAACCCTAGACCCACTCCAATTTGCATACCGCCCCAACAGATCCACAGATGATGCAATCTCTATTACACTCCACACTGCCCTTTCCCACCTGGACAAAAGGAACACCTATGTGAGAATGCTGTTCATTGACTACAGCTCAGCGTTCAACACCATAGTGCCCTGAAAGCTCATCACTAAGCTAAGTACCCTGGGACTAAACACCTCCCTTTGCAACTGGATCCTGGACTTCCTGACGGGCCGTCCCCAGGTGGTAAGGGTAGGTAACAACACATCTGCCAGGCTGATCCTCAATACGAGGGCCCCTCAGGGGTGCGTGCTCAGTCCCCTCCTGTACTCCCTGTTCACCCATGACTGCATGGCCAGGCACGACTCCAACACCATCATTAATTTTGCCAATGACACAACAGTGGTAGGCCAACAACGATGAGACAGCCTATAGGGCGGAGGTCAGAGACCTGGCCGTGTGGTGCCAGGATAACAACCTCTCCCTCAATGTGATCAAGACAAAGGAGATGATTGTGGACTACAGGAGAAAGAGGACCGAGCACGCCCCCATTCCCATTGATGGGGCTGTAGTGGAGCAGGTTGAGAGCTTCAAGTTCCTTGGTGTCCATATCACCAACAAACTATCATGGTCCAAACACACCAAGACAGTTGTGAAGACGGCACGACAAAGCCTATTTCCACTCAGGAGACTGAAAAGATTTGGCATGGGTCCTTAGATCCTCAAAATGTTCTACAGCTGCACCATCGAGAGCATCCTGACTAATTGCATCACTGCCTGGTATGGCAACTGCTCTGCCTCCGACCGCAAGGCACTACAGATGGTAGTGCGTACGGCCCAGTACATCACTGGGGCCAAGCTTCCTGCCATCCAGGACCTCTATACCAGACGGTGTCAGAGGAAGGCCCTAAAAATTGTCATAGATTCCAGCCACCCTAGTCATAGACTGTTCTCTCTGCTACCCCATGGCAAGCGGTACCGGAGCGCCAAGTCTAGGTCCAAAAGGCTTCTTAACAGCTTCTACCCCCAACAGATCCTGAACAGATCATCTACCACCCCCCCCCACCCCCCCTTTACGCTGCTGCTACTCTCTGTTTATTATCTATGCATAGTCACTTTAACACTTTAACTCTGCCTCCTGTAGCTCAGTTGGTAGAGCATGGCGCTCGCAATGCCAGGGTTGTGGGTTCGATTCCCACGGGGGGCTAGTATGAAAAAATGTATGCACTCACTAACTGTAAGTCGCTCTGGATAAGAGTGTCTGCTAAATGACTAAAATGTAAAAAATTGACATATTACTTCAATTACCTCGACTAACCTGTGCCCCCTGCACATTGACTCTGTACCAGTACCCCCTGTATATAGCCTCACTACTGTTATTTTACTGCTGCTCTTTAATTATTTTAAATGTTTTACTTATCTATTTTTTATTTAACACTTATTTGTTGGTTAAGGGCTTTGTAAGTACGCATTTCACTGTAAGGTCTACACCTGTTGTATTCGGCGCATGTGACAAATAAAATAAAATGTTATTTAAAAATGTTATTTGAAGTGTGACATGCATAAGAAAGAAGGCGAAGCCTTCAACCTCTGCCTGCCCTGCAAACCCGGGCCCTGTGGCAGCCCGTTGGTCACTGCAACTTGCCCAAGCCTCACAGCAGGGAGGGGGCACCAAGCTGGCCCAAGACCCCATGGCAACACAGCAGACTGACAATTCCCAGGCTAAGATCTTGAACAAAGGCAACCTGGAGTTAAACAGTCCTTTGCTGTGGCCGCAGCAAAGTTCCGCCCTCCTAACCACCCTAAAGGGGGCAGGATGGGTCAGCCAATCTAGGGCACAGCCCTAAGCAGCAGAGCAGGATAGTTTGCAAAGCCTACTGCTTCCTTGCCCTACCCTCTTTCTCTGGTTTAACATAAGCCATCCGCCTCGCCTGACAATGGGGAGGAACGTCTGCGTTGTGGGAGAAAAAAAAAATCCCTTTGTAACAGCACACTTGCATGACATTGCTCACATGGGAAGATGGAGGATGTGCATTGTTACCCCCAAGTGTTCTTACCCCCTTGGACTCTCCCCTCGGCACCTTCTCAGGTTCTAGGCAGGGACGAAAGTCAGCATGTCCGCTCTCCCTTGGGTCTCTTCGGACATACAAAGCTGGATGACAGATTGCCATTTGCCCTTTTACTATGACCCCCCATTTCCCTCGCCTTACGGCATTTTCACCTCTAACCGTCTGTTGCGTGAGCAACACAGTAAAAACAAGCCCACGTGGGCAGCTCCTCCTTACTACCAGGTGCCAGAAGAGATATGACACAATCCCCCGTTTTTATAATGATAAACAGGGATGAAACGCATGTGATGACCAGGAAGGCCCTGGTTAGCAGTGATCACTCTCCTGCTTTATAATCAGTCCTGATAGCCACTGTTACGCAGGGATCTGCAGACCCAAACGTACGGAAAGATTTGCCACCCTCACCCAGTAGCCATGGCCCTTTGGGCATGGCCAGTGGGAGGATAAATCTGAATGCGACAAGCCGGCCACTCAAGATCTTTCACGATCCAGAGTGCCGGTGCCACTCCTATACGTCCACTTTTTGGAAAAAGAGACAATGCATTTTTTGGAGAAGTGGTGTGACGTACACAGATCATTCATAACCCTTTCTAACCCTAACCCTCTGTTTGCAAGGTTTCTATGCTTCATTGCAGGACCTTTTTGGACAGAGTGAAGATCTCTAAAGGAACAGTTAACTGCTATCTCGCCTGTCACACAGGCCTCGACAGTTACACAGTAGGGTAACAGCCTCTGTTATGTTGCTTTTAGGATGTGCGTCACTTACACAAAACCAGTCTCCAAGCCTTTAGCTCCGTCACTGGGACCCTTCTATTGTGCTTGAGGCTTTCTCATGGCAGCCTCTTGAGACGCTGGAAAGCAGGGAGATATAATACTTATGTTTCTAACCCACTTTACTGTCTTCCCTACGCCTGCAAAGCAAGTGAGTGGGCTGCACTCACTGTCAACCCACCGTTCATGCCTTCAGTTTAACCGGGGTCCTGCTGGGTACATTCGTACCCAAAATCCCACCTGCATGCCTAGGGTCATTTACAACTGTGTTGTTGTGCCCTGGAGCTTGTGGTTACATCCACCTCTCACCCAGTTTACGGAAGTAGAGCTTCTCCACCGTTTGTGTCCAGCATGTGCCTGCTGCATTTGCTTGGATAAAAGCGAGAGTATTGCTCGAGTGACAGTGACCTTTGTGTTTTTTGGGCACCTCCCTGCAAAGGGAGGTCCCCTACCTCATTAATGGCTATCTTGAGATAGTGGAGGCTATTCTATTGGAAAATATAGTAGCAAGGGTTACAGCCCAGAATGGCTCGTTCCACCAGAGGTATGGCTACCTCTTAGGCACTGTTCTAAGACATCTCCTTATGAGAGATTTACGCTATGGCATGTTGGGCCACCCCTCATACGTTTCTGAAGTCTTTACCGACTGGATGTCACTGCACCTTCGTGGGGCATTCTCCCTCAGTGTTGAAGCCTCTGAGCGGTGATGCTGTTGAAACTACCCTGGCTTTGGAGAGCATGTCTGCCTTATGGGAGTTGGCCATATGCCTTTAGTGACACATTGAAACGAAACGGAACCCCGGTTCTATGAGAATATGAATGAGATGTGTCACCACTTTTCCCTGCTTGCAAGAGTACAAGGAAGAGAGACATTGTCGAGAATTAACAGTTGGTGGACGAGTGGCTCACTTTATGGAGGAGAGGGGCTCACCTCATTCACCACTCGATCTGTCTGTCACCAACAGACACAGTGTGAATGGATACTTCAAGCTTGTTAACGACCCTTAAGCGTTTCCCATAAGTGACACATCACACTCACATTTTCATAGAACCGGGGTTATGCAAGTAACCTAAAGTTTAATTTGCAGCGGCACCTATACTTTATACTTATGAAGGTAAATTGCAAAACCTGATTTTGTAGACCCGCCCTGACACCACCTCAGACATGCTTGACTAGTGGAAAGGAAAAGTGTGTATAATTTCTCTCTTGGAGGAAAGGGAGTTGCTCTGTAAAAAAAAATTGGGCCAGGAATCTGGTTATTATATTTGTCATTTTGTCTTGTAATAGTTTACATTTGTGATTCTTGAGCTATCACATTCACACACAAAGAGACAGTCACAGTTGGGGAGCAGGCAATATTATCAAAACATGAGGCTTTCTACTATTAGTCCACAAAGGTGCTTTCAGCAGCTTTAAAAAAACACACATTTTGTGATTTGAATTCCATAAACAACCATTAACGTTGCCATTGTTGTGGACACAATGCATTGCAGGATTACAGTACCTGTCTGGCATCCTGAATCTGTTTACGGATCACCTCTTTGATGGTGGGGCTGTTTAGTCTGGGTGGATGGAAGATCAGATCTATATTAGTTTGCAGTCTATCATGCATGACCTCCGGCCATCCTAACTCCAGATCGGGTGTTGCTATGTCTGAGTGCACAGGCCAGTACGTCCCAGTTGAGGACTTGCTGACCGGAGTGTCCGGAGCTGGGCCATTGATTTCCTCTGTGTGGTTGCTATGCAATGGCTGTGAGGTGTTTGTAATGATGAAGTGGAGTTCATCTTCTGAGAGGAAGCTCCCTATCCGCTCGGCCTTGAGGAACTCCTGGTAGCTCTCTCTGCCACCATTCACCAGGGAATCAATAGCAAGGCGATAGGCCTCCTTATAGTGGGGATGAATGTAATCCTCAGCCTTCAACTCTCCCTTCAAGGAGGACAGCAGGGAGAGTTGTTGGGATTCCATCATCACAGTGGCTAAGCGAGTCCTGTTACAGATGGTGGACGCTAGAAGTCAAATGGACAAGAAGCAAGGTGTTAGAAAAACTATGTGATAGCGAGTGTTTTCATATAAATAAATGATATGTGTTTTCACTGAAAATCCCCATTTTGGTATTTCCCCAGTTCATGTTTGTCCAACTTCTAGGAAGATTATAACCCACTTAACCCAAAGATTTTCCCAAGTTTTCACCATCATTGTAAAGCTATAGTTGTTTTGGGGAATTCATTTCTGAGTACTTTTTAAAAGATTTGTACTTATTTAATGTGATTAGTGATTAATTTACAATAAGGTCAACCCTGTTATGTGAACTAAACTCTCGTTTTAATATGGTAAAACTATTCATTTTCAAATTATGTTTTCTAACTTAACATTGAACATCTAATACTCAAATCATAGTGTAAAAGCAGGTGAGCTGGTTCTACAATTTTTGGCAATTTTCTGATGTTTTGTGGGCATAACACGTTAACCCTGTTAGATAGATACATAGGCTAATCATGTTTTACCAAGTTAAGCATGCATTCAATAGCCCCTCCCTGTTGCACACAACATGCTTCCATTCCCCTATCACAAGGGGAGTTATAACTGATTTAAGATGAAATCGTCAACCCTGTTTCCATCAACAATATCACTTTAATAGTCACTTTTATAGTATTCTTTCTTAATTTAACCTCATGAGATGGGAAAACATGTTTGTTATAAGGTTGAACATGTGCTATTTATGACAGAATATTAAAATTAGCTGAAAGAAATATATATATACAGTGGGGGAAAAAAGTATTTAGTCAGCCACCAATTGTGCAAGTTCTCCCACTTAAAAAGATGAGAGAGGCCTGTAATTTTCATCATAGGTTCACGTCAACTATGACAGGCAAAATGAGAAAAAAAATCCAGAAAATCACATTGTAGGATTTTTTATGAATTTATTTGCAAATTATGGTGGAAAATAAGTATTTGGTCAATAACAAAAGTTTCTCAATACTTTGTTATATACCCTTTGTTGGCAATGACACAGGTCAAACGTTTTCTGTAAGTCTTCACAAGGTTTTCACACACTGTTACTGGTATTTTGGCCCATTCCTCCATGCAGATCTCCTCTAGAGCAGTGATGTTTTGGGGCTGTCGCTGGGCAACATGGACTTTCAACTCCCTCCAAAGATTTTCTATGGGGTTGAGATCTGGAGACTGGCTAGGCCACTCCAGGACCTTGAAATGCTTCTTACGAAGCCACTCCTTCGTTACCCGGGCGGTGTGTTTGGGATCATTGTCATGCTGAAAGACCCAGCCACGTTTCATCTTCAATGCCCTTGCTGATGGAAGGAGGTTTTCACTCAAAATCTCACGAAACATGGCCCCATTCATTCTTTCCTTTACACGGATCAGTCGTCCTGGTCCCTTTGCGGAAAACAAGCCCCAAAGCATGATGTTTCCACCCCCATGCTTCACAGTAGGTATGGTGTTCTTTGGATGCAACTCAGCATTCTTTGTCCTCCAAACATGATGAGTTGAGTTTTTACCAAAAAGTTATATTTTGGTTTCATCTGACCAAATGACATTCTCCCAGTCCTCTTCTGGATCATCCAAATGCACTCTAGCAAACTTCAGACGGGCCTGGACATGTACTGGCTTAAGCAGGGGGACACGTCTTGCACTGCAGGATTTGAGTCCCTGGCGGCGTAGTGTGTTACTGATGGTAGGCTTTGTTACTTTGGTCCCAGCTCTCTGCAGGTCATTCACTAGGTCCCCCCGTGTGGTTCTTGGTTTTTTGCTCACCGTTCTTGTGATCATTTTGACCCCACTGGGTGAGATCTTGCGTGGAGCCCCAGATCGAGGGAGATTATCAGTGGTCTTGTATGTCTTCCATTTCCTAATAATTGCTCCCACAGTTGATTTCTTCAAACCAAGCTGCTTACCTATTGCAGATTCAGTCTTCCCAGCCTGGTGCAGGTCTACAATTTAGTTTCTGGTGTCCTTTGACAGCTCTTTGGTTTTGGCCATAGTGGAGTTTGGAGTGTGACTGTTTGAGGTTGTGGACAGGTGTCTTTTATACTGATAACAAGTTCAAACAGGTGCCATTAATACAGGTAATGAGTGGAGGACAGAGGAGCCTCTTAAAGAATAAGTTACAGGTCTGTGAGAGCCAGAAATCTTGCTTGTTTGTAGGTGACCAAATACTTATTTTCCACCATAAATTAGAAATAATTTAATAAAAAATCCTACAATGTTATTTTCAGGATTTTTTTTTCTCAATTTGTCTGTCATAGTTGACGTGTACCTATGATGAAAATTACAGGCCTCTCTCATCTTTTTAAGTGGGAGAACTTGCACAATTGGTGGCTGACTAAATACTTTTTTCCCCCACTGTATATATATATATATATATATATATATTTTAAGTTACACTACCCAAAAGGCACTCTATTAGTAGAATGACACTTGTAATGTTTTGTTGTAATAGTTTCCCTTAGTTCGTTTTTTGGTTAATCAAGAACTTTTCAGAGTATGTAATTAGCTCATTTCAATACATAGACATCATTCTAGCTGTCAGACTGTACACATCAGAAATAGGTGTTCATGTTGTCAGAAGCACACTGTGTTCTAAACTATTAGCTGCAGCTGGCCCAGCTTGTACAGACTTGTTGATTAATATAATGGGAAGCCAACTCTGGAATTTAGCTTCTCAAGTGTGATTCGCAATGCCTAGTGAACTTTCAAGTACATTTAAATGGGCTGGTATAAGAAGAGTTCTAAAATGAATAAGGCTATATTATCACAGTTTCCTACAGTAATGTTGGAAGTAAAGAAGGGTTATGCAGAAAAAAAATCAAATCAGATTCCTTCAGAAATGCTGAAATACTAGGACCAAAGAGTACAATATTAAGGCAGACACATGCCATTGTGTGGATTATCATATGAAAACAAATATCATCCATGTTGTTAGTCATTTGTAGGTGGCATTCACTGACACACAGGCCTCTGGCTTAACGGAATATAATTTCTTATATAAGAGGTTCAATGAAGTCAAAGGAAAAGGTGTGTATTTCCAACGACCAGTGCTGTGATACATTAAAGGGATAGTTGGGATTTTGGCCATGAAGCCCTTTTTCTACATCCCCAAAGTCATATGAACTCATGGATACCATTTTCTGTCTCTGTGTCCAGTATGCAGGAAGTTAGAGGTACTTTTGTGAGCCAATGCTAATTAGCTTAGCGCAAAGACTGAAAGTAGCGCATAAATAAAGGGCTTAATTACCAAAATCACGAACTGTCCCTTTAAGATCTCCTTTAAACTCAGATATTATTAACCATAGATGTAGAGCATGGCAGCATTCTCTAATTGACAGCAGACAAATACAAGCATTCCAACTCAAAATCGAGCCTGATTAGAAACATCAAAGGTTTGGGTGATGAAATTATTAAAGGTGTTTATTTGACACCCTCTGATTTTCACCTCACCTCAAGCTATCAAATTACATTTAAGATACTTCTGTTGGCCCAATGCTCTAACCACTAGGCTACCTGCTGCCCCATACTAAAAAATAAAACAATAATCCCTATAATAAAACAACCCATGGTCACTAGGACCAGCTAATTGAGCACAGCAGTATATCATATTATTTATGTTATAAACTTCTCATTATTCTGTGGTGGGACAGATGGATATTCGGCTATTTAGTTAAATGAAAGTCAATGGAAATGTGACAGGATTTGAGGCAACCTCTATGACACAACCTCTATTGCTCTCCACACTGCCCTTTCCCACCTGGACAAAAGGAACACCTATGTGAGAATGCTGTTCATTGTCTACAGCTCAGCGTTCAACACCATAGTGCCCTCAAAGCTCATCACTAAGCTAAGGACCCTGGGACTAAACACCTCCCTCTGCAACCGGATCCTGGACTTCCTGATGGGCCGCCCCCAGGTGGTAAGGGTAGAGAACAACACATCTGCCACGTTGATCCTCAACACGGGGGCCCCTCAGGGGTGCGTGCTTAGTCCCCAACTGTACTCCCTGTTCACCCATGACTGCGTGGCCAAGCACGACTCCAACATCATCATTAAGTTTGCCGATGACACAACAGTGGTAGGCCTGATCACCGACAACGATGAGACAGCCTATAGGGAGGAGATCAGAGACCTGGCGGTGTGGTGCCAGGATAACAACATCTCCCTCAATGTGATCAAGACAAAGGAGATGATTATGGACTACAGGAAAAGGAGGGCCGAGCACTCCCCCATTCTCATCGACGGGGCTGTAGTGGAGCAGGTTGAGAGCTTCAAGTTCCTTGGTGTCCACATCACCAACAAACTATCATGGTCCAAACACACCAAGAGAGTCGTGAAAAGGGCACAACAACGCCTCTTCCCCCTCAGGAGGCTGAAAAGATTTGGCATGGGACATCAGATGCTCAAAAGGTTCTACAGCTGCACCATTGAGAGCATCTTGACTGGCTGCATCACTGCTTGGTATGGCAACTGCTTGGCATCCGACTGCAAGGCGCTACAGAAGGTAGTGCGTACGGCCCAGTACATCACTGGGGCTGAGCTCCCTGTCATCCAGGACCTCTATACCAGGCAGTGTCAGAGGAAGGCCCTAAAAATTGTCAAAGACTCCAGCCACCCAAGTCATAGACTGTTCTCTCTGCTACCGCACTGCAACCGGTACCGATGCACCAAATCTGGAACCAACAGGACCCTGAAAAGCTTCTACCCCCAAGCCATAAGACTGCTAAATAGTTAACCAAATAGCTACCTGGACTATCTACATTAACCTTTTTTGCATTACCTCTTTTACTCATCACATACACTGCTGCTACTGTTTATTATCTATCCTGTTACCCAGTCACTTTACCCCTATCTATATGTACAGTGGGGAAAAAAGTATTTAGTCAGCCACCAATTGTGCAAGTTCTCCGACTTAAAAAGATGAGAGAGGCCTGTAATTTTCATCATAGGTACATGTCAACTATGACAGACAAATTGAGAAAAAAAAAATCAAGAAAATCACATTGTAGGATTTTTTGTGAATTTATTTGCAAATTATGGTGGAAAATAAGTATTTGGTCACCTACAAACAAGCAAGATTTCTGGCTCTCACAGACCTGTAACAACTTCTTTAAGAGGTTCCTCTGTCCTCCACTCATTACCTGTATTAATGGCACCTGTTTGAACTTGTTATCAGTATAAAAGACACCTGTCCAAAACCTCAAACAGTCACACTCCAAACTCCACTATGGCCAAGACCAAAGAGCTGTCAAAGGACACCAGAAACAAAATTGTGGACCTGCACCAGGCTGGGAAGACTGAATCTGCAATAGGTAAGCAGCTTGGTTTGAAGAAATCAACTGTGGGAGCAATTATTAGGAAATGGAAGACATACAAGACCACTGATCATCTCCCTCGATCTGGGGCTCCACACAAGATCTCACCCCGTGGGGTCAAAATGATCACAAGAACGGTGAGCAAAAATCCCAGAAACACACGGGGGGACCTAGTGAATGACCTGCAGAGAGCTGGGACCAAAGTAACAAAGCCTACCATCAGTAACACACTACGCCGCCAGGGACTCAAATCCTGCAGTGCCAGACGTGTCCCCCTGCTTAAGCCAGTACATGTCCAGGCCCGTCTGAAGTTTGCTAGAGTGCATTTGGATGATCCAGAACAGGATTGGGAGAATGTCATATGGTCAGATGAAACCAAAATAGAACTTTTTGGTAAAAACTAAACTCGTCGTGTTTGGAGGACAAAGAATGCTGAGTTGCATCCAAAGAACACCATACCTACTGTGAAGCATGGGGTGGAAACATCATGCTTTGGGGCTGTTTTTCTGCAAAGGGACCAGGACGACTGATCCGTGTAAAGGAAAGAATGAATGGGGCCATGTATCGTGATATTTTGAGTGAAAACCTCCTTCTATCAGCAAGGGCATTGAAGATGAAACGTGGCTGGGTCTTTCAGCATGACAATGATCCCAAACACACCGCCCGGGCAACGAAGGAGTGGCTTCGTAAGAAGCATTTCAAGGTCCTGGAATGGCCAAGCCAGTCTCCAGATCTCAACCCCATAGAAAATCTTTGGAGGGAGTTGAAAGTCTGTGTTGCCCAGCGACAGCCCCAAAACATCACTGCTCTAGAGGAGATCTGCATGGAGGAATGGGCCAAAATACCAGCAACAGTGTGTGAAAACCTTGTGAAGATTACAGAAAACGTTTGACCTGTGTCATTGCCAACAAAGGGTATATAACAAAGTATTGAGAAACTTTTGTTATTGACCAAATACTTATTTTCCACCATAATTTGCAAATAAATTCATAAAAAATTCTACAATGTGATTTTCTAGATATTTTTCTCAATTTGTCAGTCATAGTTGACGTGTACCTATGATGAAAATTACAGGCCTCTCATCTTTTTAAGTGGGAGAACTTGCACAATTGGTGGCTGACTAAATACTTTTTTCCCCCACTGTATATATCTACCTCAATTACCTCATACCCCTGCATATCGACTTGGTACTGCTACCCCTTGTATACAGTATAGCCAAGTTATAGTTACTCCATGTGTATTTATTCCTTGTTTTACTATTTTTCTATTATGTCTCTCTGCATTGTTGGGAAGGGCCCGTAAATAAGCATGTCACTGTTATCTACACATGTTGTTTACGAAGGATGTAACAAATAAAATTGTATTTTATTCGTAATTTTAGTAAAGTTTTCCCTATTGTGCTTTTAAACCAATGTTTTGGAATCTGCCTTTCACTGCTATTGTGCGATGATGCAATGTGTCATTTTGAACAAACAGGTTGATTGTATATCAACTTAAACAGTTTCTTCAACATACATACATTACATTTTATGAGAAAATATTTAAATGAATAGAGATTATGCTCATTATTATGCTTATTGGCTCATATGTCTATTGTTATTTGTTCATATTCCACTGAATTCTTTGAAAGCATATTCTACATTCCAGGTCACAACAGTCTAATGTTAAACTCTATCGTAGTTACTTACATTAAAAGTACGAGTTATAGAAAATTGATCTTGTAGTTGCCCAATAAATCCCAGTCCGGCATCTTTCAATGTATTCTGTTGACTGTTTAGCCGTATTGGAGGAAAAGCTGATATATGCCACCTGAAAGTAACAAAGACAAGGAGGTGTCTCAACATGAGAAGCACTCTGTGCATGGAGGGTGTGGATTCCAGTTCACATGCAAATAGCTCAGGCTTCAAACTTGCTCACAGCACAGGGGCTGCCATAAACCTGTTTCAGATGGGTAGCCACACCCACCTCTTCTTCTATGAGAGTTCAAAGTTCAATTGTGTCTTGGACAATGGAGGTTCTGATAGTCAGCTATCTTTTCTAGCAAATTTAAAGGAGGCTTTGCACTTTTTACATATAATATGGCAATATATAAGTAAGCTTTAACAGTGCTTGTTAACTTACTTGATGACATTTACACAGTTTACAAAACATTAGGAACACTTTCCTAGTATTGAGTTGCACCCCCTTTTGCCCTCAGAAGAGCCTCAATTCGTCGGTGCATGGACTCTACAAGATGTCGAAAGCGTTCCACAGAGATGATGGCCCATGTTGACTGCAATGCTTCTCACAGTTGTTTCAAGTTGGCTGGATGTCCTTTGGGTGGTGGACCATTCTTGATACACACGGGCAGTGCTTCATTTGAACCGGATTCTGCCAAAAACAGGATCTGGCACATCTCAGTTATGGACTGTTTGGTTCCGGAACCCATTTGCCAGGATCCAGTACCTCTCGTGGCATGAAAAATAATTTTCACTGTTTGCAATGTAAAAATTATAATAAAAGCAACCAGAGTTAATTCAAGTTGACTCCTCTGTAATTCTCCTGCCCCCTAAAAAACGTAATGTGAAAACGTGCCTGATATTCTAAGAATTGATTCCTGTTGGGCCGGCCCGGGTTTAGCTTATATGGTTTGCGTAACATTGTAGCCTTGCCATTGCTCTGGTAAGAGAGAGAAGCCTATCTGTAGGCCTATCTCTTCCAGAACTAGAATGAGATTCACTTTTTTTATGATCTCTCTCCGCTCTGATAGACATGAGCCTGCAACATTAATCTCTCCAGGGTTGCACTTCATAATTTATTTCCTTATAGAATCATTGCCGCGGGAAGGGTGCTGGAGGTGCCGCAGCACCCCTGATAAATTGAAATACATTTGCCAAAGTCATGGAATTACTGCTGTCTGTTCAGAAAGAAATGAACTCATTCCAAATACTAGGCTACAGCAGGAGTTGGCCTATAATTTAGCCACAGAGGATCAACAGCTTATTTTATTTTTTAATAGCCTAGCTGTGGATTGTGTGTAGCCCTTTCACAAGGCATGTCTATACAATCGGGAATGCCCTGCAAATCTGTCAGTGTACTGCATGCAGCCAAAACAGGCCTTTTGCAATATTTCAAATACAATCGTAGGAAAACACAGGTTGGAAAGCAAATGGATCCTGCTGAAAAGAGAAGACTAATCTATCTGCCTGTAGGCTACCAAGTTATCAACTTCCAAATAGGCCTATTGAGCGAACAGCATTGTTTTACAAAGTAAATCAAGAGCGATAAGCTTTTGGCACGAGCGAATCAGACATCACCATTAAGAATGGCGCCGGAGAAGATGGCTGCCGTTTTACAGCCCTCTAACCAATTGTACTATTATGTGTGTTTTTCCGCGTTATTTGTAATTTATTTTGTACATAATGTTTCTGCCATCATCTCTTATAACCAAAAAGAGCTTCTGGATATCAGGACAGCGATTACTCACCTCGTATTGGACGAATAATTTTTCTTCAACGAGGCGGCCGCAAAGGATATCCAACAGACACCCGACAAGGCCCAAATCCCCTTCATTCGCATGAGGAAGAGACGGAGATATCGTGGACGTAGGTTGGGGTGCCTTGTAAGGATCCGACGGCGAGCCAGTAAACTGCCGCTCCCATCAATCCTATTAGCCAATCTTCAATCATTGGAAAATAAATTGGATGACCTAAGATTACGGTTATCCTACCAACGGGACATTAAAAACTGTAATATCTTATGTTTCACCAAGTCGTGGCTGAACGACGACATGGATAACATACAGCTAGCGGGCTATACACTACATCGGCAGGATAGAATGGCTGACTCCGGTAAGACAAGGGGTGGCGGTCTGTGTATATTTGTAAACAACAGCTGGTGCACAAAATCAAATACTAAGGAAGTCTTGAGGTTTTGCTCGCCTGAGGTAGAGTATCTTATGATAAGCTGTAGACCACACTATTTACCAAGAGAGTTTTCAACTATATTTTTCATAGCTGTCTATTTACCACCACAAACCAATGCTGGCATTAAGATTGCACTGAATGAGCTGTATAAGGCCATAAGTCAAAAGGAAAACGCTCATCCAGAGGCAGCGCTCCTAGTGGCCGGGGACTTTAATGCAGGGAAACTTAAATCTGTTCTACCTAATTTCTACCAGCATGTTAAATGTGCAACCAGAGGAAAAAAAACTCTAGACCACCTTTACTCCACACACAGAGACGCATACAAAGCTCTCCCTCGCCCTCCATTTGGCAAATCTGACCATAACTCTATCCTCCTGATTCCTGCTTATAAGCTAAATCTAAAGCAGGAAGCACCAGTGACTCGGTTAATAAAAAAGTGGTCAGATGACGCAGATGCTAAGCTACAGGACTGTTTTGCTAGCACAGACTGGAACATGTTCTGGGATTCTTCAGATAGCATTGAGGAGTCCACCACATCAGTCACTGGCTTCATCAATAAGTGCATCGATGATGTCATCCCCACAGTGACCGTACGTACATACCCCAACCAGAAGCCATGGATTACAGGAAACATCCGCACTGAGCTAAAGGGTAGAGCTGCCGCTTTCAAGGAGCGGGACTCTAACCCGGACGCTTATAAGAAATCCCGCTATGCCCTCCGACGAACCATCAAACAGGCAAAGAGTCAATACAGGACTAAGATTGAATCGTACTACACCGGCTCTGACACTCGTCGGATGTGGCAGGGCTTGAAAACTATCACAGACTACAAAGGGAAGCACAGCCGCGAGCTTCCCAGTGACACAAGCCTACCAGACGAGCTAAACCACTTCTATGCTCACTTCGAGGCAAGCAACACTGAAGCATGCATGAGAGCACCAGCTGTTCCGGATGACTATGTGATCACGCTCTCCGTAGCCGATGCGAGTAAGACTTTTAAGCAGGTCAACATTCACAAAGCCGCAGGGCCAGACGGATTACCAGGACGTGTACTCCGAGCATGTGCTGACCAACTGGCATTTTCACTGACATTTTCAACATGTCCCTGACTGAGTCTGTAATACCAACATGTTTCAAGCAGACCACCATAGTCCCCGTGCCCAAGGACACTAAGATAACCTGCCTAAATGACTACCGACCCGTAGCACTGACGTCTGTAGCCATGAAGTGCTTTGAAAGGCTGGTCATGGCTCACATCAACACCATTATCCCAGAAACCCTAGACCCACTCCAATTTGCATACCGCCCCAACAGATCCACAGATGATGCATCTCTATTGCACTCCACACTGCCCTTTCCCACCTGGACAAGAGGAACACCTACGTGAGAATGCTATTCATTGACTACAGCTCAGCATTCAACACCATAGTGCGCTCAAAGCTCATCACTAAGCTAAGGATCCTGGGACTAAACACCTCCCTCTGCAACTGGATCCTGGACTTCCTGACGGGCCGCCCCCAGGTGGTAAGGGTAGAGAACAACACATCTGCTCAGTCCCCTCCTGTACTCCCTGTTCACCCATGACTGCATGGCCAGGTACGACTCCAACACCATCATTAAGTTTGCCGACGACACAACAGTGGTAGGCCTGATCACCGACAACGATGAGACAGCCTATAGGGAGGAGGTCAGAGACCTGGCCGTGTGGTGCCAGGATAACAACCTCTCCCTCAACGTGACCAAGACAAAGGAGATGATTGTGGACTACAGGAAAAAAAAGAGGACTGAGCACGCCCCCATTCTCATCGACGGGGCTGTAGTGGAACAGGTTGAGAGCTTCAAGTTCCTTGGTGTCCACATCACCATTTTACATTACATTTTAGTCATTTAGCAGATGCTCTTATCCAGAGCGACTTCCAGTTAGTGAGTGCATACATTATTATTATTTTTTATTTTTTCATACTGGCCCCCCATGGGAATCGAAACCCACAACCCTGCTGTTGCAAACGCCATGCTCTACCAACTGAGGTACATCCCTGCCAGCCATTCCCTCCCCTACCCTGGACGACGCTGGGCCAATTGTGCGCCGCCCCATGGGTCTCCCAGTCGCGGCTGGCTACGACAGAGCCTGGATTCGAACCAGGATCTCTAGTGGCACAGCTTAGACCACTGCGCCACTCGGGAGACATCACCAACGAAATATCATGGTCCAAACACAACAAGACAGTCGTGAAGAGGGCACGACATAGCCTATTCCCCCTCAGGAGACTGAAAAGATTCGGCATGGGTCGTCAGATCCTCAAAAAATTCTACAGCTGCACCATCGAGAGCATCCTGACTGGTTGCATCGCCGCCTGGTATGGCAACTGCTTGGCCTCCGACCGCAAGGCACTACAGAGGGTAGTGCGTACGGCCCAGTACATCACTGGGGCCAAGCTTCCTGCCATCCAGGACCTCTATACCAGGCGGTGTCAGAGGAAGGCCCTCAAAATTGTCAAAGACTCCAGCCACCCTAGTCATAGACTGTTCTCTCTGCTACCGCACGGCAAGCGGTACCGGAGTGCCAAGTCTAGGTCCAAAAGACTTCTCAACAGCTTCTACCCCCAAGCCATAAGACTCCTGAACAGCTAATCATGGCTACCCGGACTATTTGCACTGCCCCCCCACCCCATCTTTTTACGCTGCTGCTACTCTGTTAATTATTTATGCATAGTCACTTTAACTCTACCCACATGTACATATTACTTCAACTACCTCAACTAGCCGGTGCCCCCGCACATTGACTTTGCACCGGTACCCCCCTGTATATATAGCCTCCCTACTGTTATTTATTTTACCTCTGCTCTTTTTTTCTCAACACTTTTTAGTTGTTGTTTTATTTTACTTTTTTATTAAAAATAAATGCAGTGTTGGTTAAGGGCTGTAAGTAAGCATTTCACTGTAATGTCTGCACCTGTTGTATTCGGC